ATGTTGCGGCGCGCAATGAACTGGAAGTTGATCTGTCAGCACTATCCTTATCTTCAGGGCAGATGTTTTTATTTTATTTGGCTTATAATTCCTTACTAAATGTAGTATTTCATCTCGATGTACTCCATCTTTGATATGATTTAAATCAAATTCCTTGTCATTATAAATATCACAAATACACATCAAATAGTTTTCTAGTTGCAATTTTCTAATTTCGACTTTGCGTAATGTATGCTTTACGCATGCGCACATTGAAAGAAATGTTTAATAAAGTAAACAAATAAATATAAAGCTTTTTTTTTTTTTTTTTTTTTTTTCTGCTGTAAATTTTGATACTCTTTAGATCATAATTGCTCTTTATTTCATAAATTATGGTTTCATATTTTTAATTTTATAATTTCTGCATGCCATCTTACCAGATTTAAACTGATGATCCATAATCCGGAAAAAACGATAATCTAGAATCGCCGTAGTCCCGACGAGTCCGGATTAAAGACTTTTGACTGTATATATTATAAACATACAGTGCAAAGTCCATAATCCGGACTCGTCGGGTCTTCAGTGGTTCCAGATTGGGGGTTTTTCCGGATTATAGATCATCAATTTAAATCTGGTAAGATGGCATGCAGAAATTATATAATTAAAAGTATGAAATAAAGAGCAATATGATCTAAAGGGTATCCAAGTTTACAAAAAAAAGCTTAATATTTATTTGTTTACTTTATTAAATATTTCTTTCAATGTAAGTTGTTTAAGTTGCTTAATTTTTTGTGCTAATACTTTCTCTTTAATTCTATAAACAGATATCATTTCTTGTTCAGTTACAAAGTTCCACGTATCGGAAGTGGTATTTTCTAGATCTAGAACGATACTACAGATTTTGCCGTCCGTTAATTGATTGATGATTGGGGTATTGTCGTCACGATGAAAAACTTCTGTTATATCATCTTCATTTATTACCACTTCTCCACATTTCTTTACAAAATCGAGTAACTGGAAAATTTGACCTTTAGTTTGCGATACCCGAAAACCTTCAAATTCGTGGCTATCATCATCATCATCCTCACCATGAAATATGGTAGCTTGCCATAAATTATGCCAAGCATTTTTAGTTTCTGAAGACATCCTCTCAACGTGCATGTGCATGCTTATACACGCATACGTAAAGCATACAAAAAAAGTTTGTGGCTTTGAGGTCTGGATTATAGATCATTCCAGATAATGGACATCCGGATTACGGACTTTGTACTGTATATATGTGTGTGTGTCTGCATATGTAGTGTAACAACAGATGTGCACTCATGCTGCTGATTTCTGAAGTTTATGTGAAAAATTGGGTAGAACTAAAATGAAAATGTTTAATAAGGTTTCATAACCAGCTGGCTTAAGTTATTAGAAGAGCTGTATTTCTCCCATTAGCCAGCTTTTGCCTGCTCCTGGTCTACAAGGTAACTAAAAACGTTCTTGCCATTTTGGACAATCAGGGGGAAAAGTCATAAAAAATAATGATCACTGTTATTCCTCAAAGTAATCACCACTGGTATCCATGCTTTTTGCTGACAAGTGGCTTTCTGTGCGATGCCTTTGCAGTAAAAATCAGGAGTCTTGGACACAGAGAAGTGTGTGAGGGCCTTTTCGAGGTCTGGCCGGTTGTTGCAGGATTTCCTACGAAAATGGTTGTCCAGGGAATGGAAAAGGTGGTAGTTTGTTGATGCGAGATCTGGGGAGAATGGTGGATGGGGTAGTGTCTCCAGCCCAGTCGCTGGATGGTGCCCCTGGCCTCTCAAACCACAATCGGCCTCGCATTGTCATGGAGGAGGAGTAAACCCTTATGTCAGTGGAGAGAAGGTCTCTCATTGAGGCACAGGATCCCGTGGTGATAACCAATGTCTACTGGGTGTGTCATACTGGATCCACTTTACATCGCTGGTGAGTACTCGATCAAATATGGATGCATTGCAGTGCTGAATAAGCAATGACAAACAGGCAGTGACACTCTGTTGCTTGTTTGCATCGGACAGTGAGTGGGTTACCCACTTGCTCAGTTTGTATGCCTTTCCTATGCAGTGCAAATTGAGCCTGATCATTTCATCAGATACCTGGAAGTGTGCAGCAGCTTGCCACATGTTTAGCTATTGTCACTCTCTATGGCTGCTGTCAGGGCCTCATTGTCCAGCAGTTGTAGCCGACCATTGCATGGTGCATCACTATGAGACATATCCACTGACCTGAACTTCTGGAACCATTGCCTAGCGTTTTGTTCGTTAACAGTATCATCCCCAAAGGCCTGGCAAATTTGGCGACTTGATTCTATTGCTGACAGCTCACTTTATGATCATACTGCAAACAACTTCGAGTGCCTTTGATGCGTCCATTTCAACCAGTCGCTGTATGAGTTATGTTTGAAGTACTAATGCAATGCTCTTTTATACTCATGGTCAATATCTGAACTCCCATCCTAACCACTTCATCATCAGCTTTTTATATTGGGGTTCATTCTTACAATGTCATATCAGAAACAGCAAGAACTTTTTTGGTTACCTTGTATGTCATTTCAGAAAATGCATCCTCACAGTACAGGGGTGAACATTGTACTTTGGTTGATCAGTATGTATTTTACTGTGAAACCACTATATCATGCATAAACTTCATTGTTTAAATTGAAAAAAATTTTGAATAATATTAATCAACTTAATTTAGCACTTTGTATTGAGAAGGATTTAGCTGCTTATATGTTGGTTTGGATGAGATAATTTATTATCGCATAACTCTTATGGGCTGTCCATCTTAAGAGAATTACATTCTTAAGAACTTTCAGAAAAACATTCCATTGTATTTTTGTAATGCATGCATAGTATTTTTGTATACATCAGAAAACTAACACTAACTATAAATTATTTTAACCTAACTGCAGTTTTTGAACAACTACTTTTGAACAACTACTACTAACTACTTTTTGAACAACTGCTGGCAGTTGTAATTTTAGATTATTTTATATTATTTTTAAAGTTTAAGAAATCTGCATTCAGATTTATGATGAAAACTTTCACATTTGATTTCTTTTCAGTTATTGGTGAATATAATCTTTAAATGCTCAAAAATATGTAAATCTTGATCTTACATATTAAGCTAGTCATGATTTCACTGTTAAGCAATTCTGTTAATCCTTTATGCATATGCAGTCAACAAAATCTTTTTGAAATGAAATGCTATTAAATATTGAAAATTGTGAAGATAAAAATAAGGGCAAAATATTGTCAATTGTTAAAAGTGCAGATTTTCAATAAATTTGAACACTGATTTATTGATAGCTAACAAAGAAAATTCAAATGTAGAGTAAGTGATAGTACTTTAAGGGTTTTGATTCGTATGTATACAGTGGATGGACAAAAATATGGAAACACCTTGTGAAATGCATGTTTGAAAAGAAAGATTGATTTTAATGAAATATGTAGGTGGCGCTGGCATTTTTGACTACTGACGCCACCTATACAACTTCGTAAATGTGCTAAACAGTTGTTGTCGGAGTACTGTTATGTGAGGTTGTCATTGCATTGTGTCAGAGTTAACAGACTTCGAACGTGGGCAAATTGTTGGAGCACGTATGGTAGGTGCTTCCGTAAGCAAAGTAGCCGAGGTGTTTAGTGTTTCAAGAGGTACTGTATCGAAGATTTATTCCGCATATTTGAAAAGTGGAAAAACATCATTTGCTAAATCACAGCGCGGACGAAAGTGTGTCCTGAGTGATCATGACAGACGATCATTAAGGGCAATTGTGACGAAAAATAAGACGACCCCAGCTGCAAAAGTTACTGCTGAAATGAATGTTGTGTTACCGAACCCTGTGAGTACCAAAACAATTAGAAGGGAGCTTCATAAACAGGGAATTGCTGGCCGTGCTGCAATTGAGAAGCCACTCATCAGTGATGCTAATGCCCGTAACAGGAAAAAATGGTGTTTAAGTCATAAAGCCTGGACTATAGAGCAGTGGAAGTGAGTAATATGGTCTGACAAATCTTCTTTCACATTGTTTCCCACTTCTGGCCGAGTTTACGTCTGGAGAACGCCATCTCAAGCCTATAATAAAGACTGCTTGTTGCCAAGAGTGAAACATGGCGGGGGTTCTGTTATGGTTTGGGCAGCCATATCGTGGTTCTCTGCTGGCCCCATGATAACTGTGTCAGGGCACATGACTGCCAAGACTTATGTGAACATTTTTGCTGATCAAGTTCATCCCATGGTACAAACTTTGTTCCCCGATGGTGATGGTGTCTTTCAAGACGACAAAGCCCTTGTTCACACAGCTCACATTGTCCAGGACTGGTTTTCTGAGCACGAGGATGAGTTGTCCCATCTCCCCTGGCCACCACAGTCACCAGACCTGAATATTATCGAACCTTTGTGGCCTACATTGGAACGGAAAGTGCGTTCTCGTTATCCACTGCCAACATCGTTATCTGAACTTGCCACCGTTTTGCAGGAAGAATGGTATACTATTCCCTTGGCAAACATACAGGAACTGTATTTATCCATTCCGAGAAGACTGCAAGCTGTTTTGGATGCCAACGGGTTTCCTACACCATATTAAGCAAAGAAACATGTTTTTTTTAAAGGTGTTTCCATATTTTTGTCCAACCCCTGTATTTTTGGTAATAATTTTTGCAGTTACAAAACTGTAAAATGAGAAATATTTGTTGATAAGTAATGCAGATTTTCATGAATTTATTACTAATTTTTTATGAAGCAGAGAATATGCTTTATCTGTATATGATATACTTGTGATACCTCTATTTTGAAGAAGGCAAGGGAGAAGGCAAGTTTCATGTATGTAATGATGAATTGGGTTTATGACAATATTTTTGGTGCAATCTCTTATATAGTAAGAACATATATTTTTTTATTTATAAATGGCAGTTATTCAATAAAATGCATATGATTCAACACTATATTTTTAAAAGGTGATTACTGAATAATATAATATGTTATAATAATTTTTACAGTTTAGATTCAATTAGCACAAGAGATGCTGAAATAGCTGGAAGAGAATTAGGTAAAATAATTTTTGATTGTTATTCTGATGCCATTTCATTATTATATATTATACTATATAGCAAAACAATTCATGTACTGCAAAAACACAGGGAGAGTTTACAATATGTCATTGAGGGTTAGCAAAATATACAAATACCTCAGCATTAAACATTCAACTATGCACATCATTAAACATCTACATCCAAACAAGTACATAGAGTGCATATATTATGCATTGGAACAGAGCAAGCCAATGGATACAAAAAATCTAGTGCCTGTGTAAATTCAAATTTCTGTGACCATGTTTTTGCCTGTGGCCAAGAAGAATGCATAAGTGACCCACTAGCCAAAGTCACATGCAACTGAGTACAACAAAGTAGAAAATGGCTGAGTTTCGGAGAGGAGGCAGTACTCTTTTCTTATGGTCATGCTGCTGAATTGCCAGATACAAGGTCAGAGGAATGAATCAGTGAGACAACTTTATTAGCAATCTATGGGATGAAATTTGAAATGTGAATAGGAAAACACTGTAAATTTGAAAAACATGGAACATGAGAAGTTATTTTAATCGAGAATACAGGGCCCCTATGCCAGTATCGAATGCAAGCAGGCGACATGCTATCCAGACACATATACAGCCATTAGAATACTACATGTAGAACAGGGACTCACTTGAAAAGGCACCATTGTGCCACTTCTGTACCCAGCTTTGTCATTTGGCACAACAGAGTCGCTGTCTCTCTCTATGCTGCATTGTCAAGGGAAGCCCAAATAATATGGTCGCCCCGCTGATAGTCCATGTTGCTGCAAACATCGATGCATCTTTCAAACTGATACTGGATGTGCTGAAAACATGCCCATTTCCTGACTAATGGTCTGTGATGTCGCCATACGGTTTTTCTCAGCTGACCTCACAATATGTTTGTCCTCTGGCATTAGTCATGAGAGGTCGTAGCGATTCTGCATGCTGTTTGATATACAATCCATTGATTCCATATTCGCATGACAGTGGTTGGATGTCGACTAGTGCGACCTGTGATATCATGTAACGATGATCTACATTTTCGATAGGCAACGATCTTGCCTCTATCAAATTTCGAAACTTGCTGGTAAGCATTTCCTCTTCTTATTCGAGGCATAACATGATATTCTGAACAAACTTGAACCTAACAAAGCACTTTCTGAATGACAAATCCACTACACAATTTTTCTTTTATACAGTGCTTCAGATGTCATTTCTCCCTCCTGCATTGTTTAAATGCGCTGAAATACTAATCATTTGCATATCCAAACTTCTTCCTTTTGTGTGATTTTGACATTCATCAGAATCCTGAAAATTCATTCGTCAGAATCGCATATAGCATTCGTCAGTATCCTGAAAAGTTGCTATACACAAGGGCACGTGAAAGTAATTAAGATCTTATATTTCATGCACTAACAGCTCTTTCTGAAAGCTGCTTTTAGATTATTTATGTTTATTTTGTTCTACAATTTCAGAGGCATCACCTTGTTTGCAAATTTTGTTTTCTGAGTACAGTATTTCATATCATAAATACACCTTCTTTGTGGTATAATAAATCATGAGTACTAACAGATTTAATTGTAATTCTAATTAATGTACGTACACTGTATAATTAATTAAACCTGTGGCTATAATTTTATTGTAGTTGTAATATAATTGTAAATCATTACAGTTACACTGTAATTGAATTATCTGCAATTACAATTATGTTGTATGTATGTAACAATTTATAACATTACATTGTAATTGAATTAATTGTAATTGCGATTACATTGTAATTGAATGAACTGCAGTTACAATTGCATTGTAATTATATGATTTGTGATACACTTACGTTCTGCTGGCAGTTGTAATTGAATTAATTGTAATTGATATTTATAATTACAGTTACATTGTAATTGCATAATATATAATTACAGTTGCATTGTCATTGAAATATTTATAATTACATTTACATTGTAATTGAAGGATTCAAATTACAATTACAATGTAATGGCTTTAGTTGTAATTGCAATTATTAATTAATTGCATTGTAATTGAATTATGCTTAACTGTGTAGTCAATTTTTATTCTTACGCTGTAGAGAAAGTCATACTTTTTGTGTTTTATTTTTTATAATGAGTAGAAAATTTTTGTAAGGATAAGCTTAGGCACCAGAGGAATATACAAAACGTTATTTACCTTTTGTAATTTTTGCACAATTTATATTTTAGATTTAAAATTGCCAAGATATGAATATTTGCATCAATTAAAACATTTTTGTAACTTGAAGTACATGTGTATGATCAACAATTGTGCAAATAAAGGCTGGGTAAATACTTTTGTAGACATGATATATGTATAAACCCTTTTTAGCACTGATAATAGACAACAAAGAATTTAAAATGCTTAACGATAACTCTTTTAATTTTATTTTTCCAATTTCAATTTTTAGAATTAATACTGTTTGTAAAGAATGGTAAGTACACTTTATTTTTAGGCCATATTTTTATATTTAATAATAATTATTTTTATCAAATTTGCATTTTACAAAGCACAAAATTTTGTTGATATAATTCCTAACCTTCTCTGCATCTTATTTAGATGTACTCATTACAACTAGCAGTTATTTACACATAACACTCTCATAAATGAAATAAAAAATAGCAATTTTTGCTAATAACTGAATATCACTTATTTATATATATTTCAGTTGTTGTTTTGTTCAGCAGATTAAAGCAAGTTCTGAAAAACATATACGTTACATATGATGTAAAGAACATGTTTTTTATTCCAACTTTCTTTAAATATTATTTTATTTGAGTCTTGCAACTTATTATATTTCTTTTATAAATTTTATTTTTATTTTAGTTCCAAAACAAAGTAGAGCTTGTAACTGTGTGTCTTGGAATCCCACAGAAGCTAACATTGTAAGATGTTTTTCATGAAGTTTTAGCATTAAATTACAGAAAAATCTTATTTTTATGTCATTTTTTTTTTTTTTTTTTTTTTTTTTTTTTTTTTTTATAATGCAAAGTACTCAAGTAATTTAATTGTGAAAATCTTACCTTATTTTTTGTACAAAAATTTTACTTATAAATTAAATTTCTGTAGAAAATAAATAGGTAAGGAAAAACATTCAGTGTTTGATTATAATACATCTGAACTTTTGAAAATTTATTAAATTTCTGAAAATGTTTTACTAAAACACTTCTAAGCCAAATTTAAAATGTCTTATTTAAAACTGATACTTGTGTGTGTTGTCAGGAAATATTAAAAGAATGACTATAAAATATCATATAACATGAATGATTTGGCAGCTAAGAACATACACCTTACATAAGGTTTTTTATTTTGTCTGATATATCTTCAAAAAAGTAGAATTATTTGTTTCTGCAAAAAATAAATAAATAAAAAAATCTGAAAGTCTTCAGATTATAAATTATGTCCAATGGGACGTTCTTTTAATGTTTTGTGTGTTACCTTTATTTATTAAATATCATGTTCTACGTACTCAAACCATAAAATTCGGTTCAACAGCAATATCGCAAAATAATTTTAAAATGAGCATATCTTTAGAATTTCTGATACAATTTCACACTCTGGAGATAAAATGTTTATTTTTTCTTTCAGTGTTGCCATTGCTCACTTTGAAATCGTTTAGTGTTTTAATCAACAATTTGTTGAAGTGGTACAAAATATGAAATCGATAATAAAACTAATTTCAAATTAAAATTAAGGCCTTCATATGCCCATATTCTATGGAAGATTATGTTATTCAAATTTTGATGGCTCTAGGTACTGTTGTTTTATCACATTGAAAGAAGCATACATACATTCATGCAGATTCTTTTCTTTAAGTATAATACAGGGCGATAATATTTGGTGGCAACAATTTAAAAAGTGATTCCCCGTTTATAGTTTTCATTGCAAAATGCCAAAACGAAATTAATATTCCTTCTGGGCAAATTACCCCTTTTGGACTAATAAATAAAATGAAATAAGTAAATTTAAATAAGAACATAGTTAAATGTGTAAGGACTAATTGCTTTACAACTTTTTATAGATATACAGGAAAAAATAATAAGGCATATGGTAACCTCTGACCAAAATGTAAGCTTTACAGTGATTTTCCATGCTTTTCATTGAATTGTTCAGGAGTATCTTCATAATAAAATTGTTTCACAAGAAAATAACAAAGTTAAATTAAATTTAAATAATTCTCTTGCACCATTGCTACAAGGAATGAAATTTGCATTTAACAAATATCCTCTATTCGTATAAAGCTAATATTAAATCAAATTTTAATTAAGAAATTTTAATTGCAAAAAAATAAAAAATAAAAAATTAGTATTGCTGCGAACTAATTTAAAATATCATTTAAATTCAAAGAGCATATGTAAATTAAGTGTTCGTATCTAAAACCATGAAAGAATATATTATTCCAAAAATTAAATTTATTGTTCCAAAAATAATTGCATAAGTATATAATTGTTGAGCAGGCAGGAGACAGACTTATCAGGGGGAAATTGCCTCCAAACCTAACTCTTCAATTACTGAATTTATGTTTTGTCATCCATATAGGCAAGGCTAAAAGTAAAATTCAAAACCCACAACATTTGGTTTTACTTTTGGTTTTGATTGATATGTTTTAGTCAAAAAAAGACTCATAAATATTATGGACAAAAGTATGTGTAAATATTATGCACACTGTTTACAAAACATGATGTTTTGTAACTTTGAATATATAATTATCATAATATTGTGTAAGAATCAATTACATGTGTTTTAAATTGTGAAATGTTATTAGTTTGTGATTTTAATAATGTTTTTTAAGAAATATTAAAAAAAAATAAAGTTTAATAGTGACTATGTGAATCTAGAATAACTAAGGGTATCTAGCTACGTAATTTAATTGTTAATTATTATTAATAAACATATTGCTTACCATATTACTTAATTATTAACATATTACTTAATTATTATTATTAATAAACTTATTGCTTACCCTTAAAAGTTATCTCTGCATGTTTAAATGAGCTATGCCTTTCATTAATCCTTATCATAGTCACAAGATGCAATACAAAAATGAAAAAATTAACGTAAAACTTATTCCTTGCAACTAGTGAGACTTATAACAATACAAAACAACTTATCACCTTTGGTGCTTTAGTGGCTTATTGAAACCTTAATATATCTTCAAAAAATATCTTCTTAAATATCTTCAGTATTGGTTGTTTATTAATAAACAACAATCCAAAGTTCTGATAAAACTGTAAAATTAGTGAGTTTTTTAATGCAACTTTGCAGTGTGCTTTGTTGGAAATTATTGAGTTTAATGAAGAAATAGTTTGCTTTGAAACTGCGAAGAAAATTTTCATTTTAAAATAAGTTCTTTAATTACATAGGTAAGAGAATTTAAGGGGTACAATATGAGCAATTAAAGTTATTCTCAAAGCTTTAGATGTAACACAGTTTTAATCATTCTTTTTACAAGGGGCATTGAATAAATATGCATTATATAATATTTATGGCATGATGAAAAATTTGAAATGATTACATGGTTCCTGGAAATATTAAAAAAATACTTGCATTAGTTGTCATCATTTGATTTTTTAATATTCTAGTCAGTAACATCTGTTAATACTAAAATTATCAAACATTGTTCAGTGGTTGAGTTCTTGTCAAAAGAATTTATAACACTGACAAATATTCATAACTGTATGGTTGCTCTCTCTGGATATACAACAGCTTCTAGTGCCATTGTCCAAAGATTGACTCTCTAATTTAGACAGGAGGGAGCATTACTCAAAGATGACTACTATAAATGTGACCATTGAAAAAATGTTTTAAAAGCCCAGGAATATGTGATGGAAAAACGTAAGTTACAGTTTTTGAGATTGCAATAAGAATGGGAATCAGTATTAGATCAGAGGAAAAAATCCTGCATGAAAAGCTGAGCATGTTGAAAGTGCACACCATATGCGTATCCAGAGTGTTGATTCTAGAAAATAAGGAACATCAAATTTTTCATCAAAGCAGTTTTTGAAAGCTGCTTTATGTGATACAAAAGGCAATAAAAACTTTTATCTGTGATTAGTGGTAGGAGATGAAACATGTCTTCACAATTTTGACATGGAAATTAAATAAGACAAGGTGGTGTGCAGTGGATCTTTCCTACTACACAAGTTCAGGACTCAAAAGTCTGTTAGGAATGGGCACCAAATTTGTGATGATTGATTACATAATGCCATAACAACAGGTGTTTAATATGCTAACTGTATCTGGCAAGGTGTAAAGGTCATTACAAATTCACCTTAGAAGTGTTGCATTTGTATGATTATGTTTCAGCACAATAGATGCAGATTTGCCAGAGTGCTATTTAGCAACACAGATTTCAGCTTCTTCTCTGTCCATCATAATCACTAGACCTGACCTCAAGTGGCTGTTCTTTATTTAAAACATTAAAGCTGTATTTGTATAGTTTACATTACAGCAATGATGTTGATTGGCAGGTTATAGTTCAAAAATGGCTTTTCAGTCTGTGACAATTTTTTTTTTTTCTCTTGAAATCTGATGCTGTGCTAAGTGCTTTGAAGTCAAAGGAAACTCATGAAGTAATTTTATATGTTTAATATTTTTTAGTATAAATTTATTACTCTAAAATTGATGAATGAACTTAGAATGATCACAATGTGATAATATTAAAATTAATTTGATACGTTAATTTTTCACGTTATTATTAGCATTGTTATATAAAATTGAAACTAAATGCAGTCAAGCTAATAAATTAAAATAATTTTAAGATTTCTAAACTGAAACCAATAATCTTCACATATTTAAATATTTTAATTTAACTTTTTTATTTGGAGATTATAAACTTATTCAGATTAATTTATAGGAATATCAATGGTAAAAGAAAATAGGAAATAAAAGTAGAAAATGGCTAATAAAAAGTGGCATTGATTTAATTAATGAATATTAGTTGCTAATTCTAAAACTAATGTTAATAAATATCAAAATCATGAAGGGGGCGAAGGATAGAAAAGGGATTAAAATGGTAAAATGTATAAATTTTGAAAATTTCATGAAACATTTGAAAGCATATAAAATCAAATGAAATTATATGCATGCTTTAAGGCAGTTAAAGGTATCTATAACAACTACTTGATATTGAAATTTCAGACATTGCATAAATCAGTTTTACAGTTATCAATACAACTGAATATTCAATAAATTATCTATATTTTAAGAATTTTATGGTCATAGGTTTTAGTTAAACCTTAAGTCAATCCTTTTAGAAATTTCTGGCTTGAAAATTTATTATATTTAATATTTCATTTTTTAACAATTTTAACCTTTTAGAAATTTAATTAACAATTTTAGAAAAAACAATTTTAGAAAAGTTATGCCATTTTCATACAAGTTCCATACAGGTTGTGGTTTTTACCCAGGCGCCTGATAACAAGTGTTTCTAACACCTGAGTCTTCAACTATTTCATTTATATTTTTATGTATACTTTTATAAAAATAATAATTTATACTTATATAACATTTATCTAGTTATACATTTGATCTGATAATTTTTTATTTTCTTTAAAATATTTTTTTGCAATGGTGTTTTAAAATCTCAAAGTAAAATATCCTATAAATTCTTTTAATTTTTAATTAAATTTTATGTATTTTTCAGCTTTTATCTGGTTTGGATAAATATCGGGGTGATAACTGTGTATTAGTTTGGGATATTACTAGAGCAAATTACATGACAAGTGCCATTGAAGCAGTCACATTTGACAGACGTCCTGTATTTTCTATAGATTCTTCTGTTGTATCAAAGCCCATTTTAGAGTTAGGTATTAACATTTCAAAACAATTTTGCATCAACACTTTTGTATTTCTTTCTATACTTTGACATCTGTTGTTAAATTAAAAAAGATAATTTTGTTACATAAGGTATATAATTATTTCTTATATTCTAGGATCATCTGAATCTACTCAGTCTCTTCATTGGTTTCGTAATAATCCCAAGCTTTTTGTTTGTGGAATGAGCTTTAAAAATCTTAAAATTTATGATACTAGAGGTAAATTTTTGCAATTTTATACCTTTTCTATTTTTCTTCTTTTTAATTTTTGGTTAGTCATAAATATTTTAAATAATTTTATTTAATCTCTTATAATATTAAATTTTATCTTCCAAAAAATGACAGAATTAAAAAGTTATAATTTCAGTACAATATTGTAATTTTAATTTAATGGTATCATTACTAGATCCTGGCTTTCAGATCTATGTTTACGTAAAAATTTAAGGTAATATTATAGGCTTATCTACTTAAAGTCTGGAGTGTTATACATCCAAGTCTAGCCTCTTTCAGATGGACCTTTATTCTCCTAACTTTGTACCTAAACCATCCCTGAATGCAAACACAAATTTGCCCTTCTTCCTCCCATTTTATGTCTATTTGCTATTAAAAATCTGTTATCCGGATCAGATTCAGAAATGTTTGTATGCATGCATGTATGTATGGATGTATGTGTTAAACTAAAGATAGATTATGTAGCAAGGACATTAAAAAAAATATGACGAGTCTTGTATTACAGCATTCATTTTTTTAAATGCAAGTGTGCATTGATAAAGAAATTGGAGGAAGAGGAAGTAAAACCTACCAATATCTGAACTATGAAGGATACGGTACTTATGTATTATTTCTTCGATTGTGAAAGTTGGTTGCCATCAAACTATAAAAGTTGGCGGGAAATCCCCCAAAAGTTGTGCCAGTTGCTCCTGTAGAATTCTGAAGGAACTGATGCTTGTTTATCTAATAAAGAATTTGTATTCGGCCTGCTTCATTTTTGAACTTTGTAAAAAGGCTTTTTTTTTTTTTTTATTTCTATTATTTTGTTAGACCCTCTGATTTTACCAGAAACTCTGTTTACAACATTATGAGTACAAACTTCCTGCAGGTAATTGTTCCAATCTATTACTGTTTTATCGCCCCTATTTAGGCTAAGCATATTGTGTTCATTAATGCATGCTTTTTCCACGGTAGGATACCATAGCTTTGAAAATAATCCACTGGTTGCTGTTCTATAGAAAGCAGATTCCAAATTTTAAGCATAATGGATCAGGATTACATCAGATGAAGGTGCAGATGTTATAAGTGTGTTATTACATTACATTCTGTAATTTTCTTTAATCACATTTCTGTAATTAGTGTGAAAGTGCACTGCTTGATAGCATTTTCTCGGTCAGCAGGATGATATGTAAATTCCAAGGGTATTCATATAAGCTAAGAGAAACTGTCCAGATTGCTGTTCATAGTCTGGAATATAGTTTACTGAAAGTCTGGAGAATTTGTAAGTTGCAAATGATGATATATCACAATTTGAGAACAAGTTTTTTCTTACATTTTTTTTCCTACTTATTCAGTTCTCAGTAGACATGGAAAACATAGTCTGGATATCTGAATATATTTTACCCTAATATGTGATAAATTTTAAATCTATCACCATGGAAAGATGGAATGTAGTTCAATGAATTTCATTTTTAACAAGAAACTGATGAAAGGGATCAATGAAGAAACCCATAAATAGCCATTAAACCTTAGATATATTACTATAAATAAATTGCAGTACTGTGTTTTAACATTTAAAGCAAAGTTTTAAGAAAATGTTAGTAAAGTTATACTTAAAAGTTCTCTTACTTTCATTTTTTTTTTTTTTTTTTAAACTTCTTTCCTCCTCCAAATGAACAAAACTTTGCATGTAAAGTTCCAAGCTTTAGTTATTACTTGAAATTTTCCTTTACGTATTCTTGCAGTCAGGTTATACATTTAGAGTTAGGTTATGTAAATATTAATCCTTTCATCAGTCAGCAGCTTCTGAAAAAAACTTTTAAAAAGATTTATTTTCTTTATTATAAATTCAAAATATCTCTGATGATATTTGTACCTGGACTTTTTTCTTTGTAATATACTGCCTAATATTTTAGGTGCATGTATTTTAGGTACACGTGGGTATTATGAAAAACACTGTTGTACTTGGATGAGAAAAAGGTTTATTAATTTTAAAAAAACTTAAAAAGTTTCAATAAAAACAAAATTCTTTCACAGTTTTTTTAACACAAATGGGAAAATTTCAGAGTGAAAAATTTGATAATGTTTTATTTAACTTCTTTATTAGATGGCTCAAAGCATCAAGAAATGACTTCCTCTAAAGCTGTATTTAACCTATGTGTAGATCCAGAAGTTGAGCATAGACTAGCTTCATCTTTTGAGGTAAATTATCTTTTTCTTTATGTGCATGTTATTCTGATTTAGTTAAGTTTTATTCCCAAGTATTTTAAGATTGCACATTTAAATTAAGAAATTTGTATTATATCTTTTGCATAAACTTCTTCATTCCCTTTTTACCAAATACGTATTAAAAAAATCCTGAAACTAAATTTGAAAATTAAGTCAAATTTGATAAATATTCAGGATAGAAGCCTTTTGTGAAGATATTCAATAATTGTTTAAAACAGTAGAATCCTTAAATTGCATTTGGAAACTAATTTGTTTTAATGTGGTTGATGTTGTGGTGGAAAATGCTGCCAAGTTTCAGTATTTTCCACCATAGCTTTAGCAGAATGTTATATTCTAATAAATTAGCAATTTGAAATAAAACATCTTTTTTTTGGATTATTATACATATTAAACACACAACTATTTTAAGCATGAAGATTGTTTCAGATTTGCATGCTTTAAATAGTTTTTTTGAATAATAAATAAAAAAAACACAAGCCAGAGTATGTTCATATTTATATACAGTATTATTCCGGACCTCAAAACCACCACCAATGTTTTCTCGTAGGCTTTATGCATGTACATTTGATTTCCCCTTCCTCGCATAATAAAACATCAGGAGAGTGCCAATTCTTATTTTCACTTTGACACTAAATAAAATACCATGTTGTTGAAGAAGCAGTCATTTTAGCATAAATTTGTACGATTAGTAATTTGGCTCTGTTGCTGCGTATCTGCTTGGCATACATCTAAAACCGGAACATTCCACATAGATACATTGTTAATCTGACGCCAACCTGCCGAATCATTATTTATTATACTTTCCTTTCATCACCGCATGTTTATCAAAACATGACAACTTGAGTAATGACTCATGTAGCGATGCCTAATTTTTTTTTTATGTTAGTAATTGAATAATAAGGGGTGTGGTAACCTTTTATGTTGACATTACGCTTGGCGATGACTACAGATTTCAGTTAAATGCGCTTAAAAATATTGGCGGGGGAAAATTTACTAAAAGTTTCTTTCCATATGCTAAAAATAGATTTTATTGATGATACTCATAGACCCAAAGATTACATTTAGGACTATTAAATTAAGAATAACTGATTTGTTATTCACATAAACCCAGAACCAGCGCCAGGGCTCATATGGCCGCATCAAGTCTTAGAATTTAGGACCCACAGAGACTGCATCAGGCGGTAAGATATCTAGTGCTGGCCCTTAATAAGGCTTAAGTATATGGTGGGAATTTATTTATTCAGAACACTGATAAGCCTTAAGCATGTGCAAGAATTAGACATAAATATAACAAATAACTAAACTAATACCATTCAGGCTTAATTGTCTCAGTGTGCGATAGAAGCAAAATAAAATTTAACAGAACAACTTGTCATTAGTTGCCAAGCTCATGATGCATAGTCAAATATGTATAGTGAAGGATAGCTAAATTTGATGATGATAGCCGCTAATTTTGAATGTTTTCGGATATCGCAAACAAAGATGAATTTTTTCCAGTTAGCGGATTTTGTAAGAAAATGTGAAGTGGTAATAAATGAAGTGATATAAAAGAAGTTTTTCATTGTGATAACAGTGCTTTTATGCACCAATCAATTAGTGAATGGAGAAATCTGTAGTATGGTTCTAGATCCTGAAAATACCTCGACCGATAGTGAAGAAAGTGACAGAGAAGTTACTGAAAATGAGAAAATTTCGATTGACAAGTTAGTCGGAATTCTTGAAATAGCAGCTACAGGACTTCAACAATGTAATTAAACAGGAGATTATGTCTGTCTGAGAATTAAAGAGAATGTATTAGAACAAAAAACGAAGCAACTTACACAACTTACATTGAAGGAAATGTTTAATAAGGTAAATAAATAATTATTAAGCTTTTTTTTTGTAAATTTTGATACCCTTTATATCATAAATACTTCATTATTTCATAAATCATGATTTCATATTTTTAATTTCATAATTTCTACATGCCTTCTTACCAGATTTAAACTGATGATCTAATATTCAGAAAAATACCAAATCTGGAATCACCGAAGTCCCGACGAGTCCGGATTTCGAACTTTGTACTGAAATATACGAAATGAAATATGGAATCTTGTAGAGATACTATAATTCAATTGCATTAAAATTGGAATAGTATAAAGTAAGAAAATCAGTAAGAATATCGCATACAAAATTTTAACATTATTGTCATTTTTTGTGGTTCATTCAAACAATAATTGAATCAGAACATCTTTGCAGTAATTTCATAAAAGTAAGCTTCTTGAAATTTCATTTCTGTAGATTCTAATAGTCAACTTATAAGAGGTATATTTCATATATAGAAAAGATATAGGAATAACATATATTTTCTAATAACATTAAAGCAGTTTTTTCCTTATTTTGAATAAAGTTATAAATATACAGTGGAACCTCGAGATACGAGCACCTCTATGTACGAGAAATTTGAGATACGAGAAAAGTATGAATGAAAAAATTTGTCTCTAAATACTTGAGTAACGAGAAATGAGCCAGGCTGTGGTATGCTGTCGCCATTTCCCGATCCAACTCAATTTGGGGAATCCTCTCGTCAGATCACTTTGTGTTCTTTGATCTACGTGTTTATACGCTTGCGTGTCAATTATTTATTTCATTTAACATGAAAATGATTATTTCATGATGTCTCCCAAGAAGATTGTTGCCTGAAATAGTGCTTCCAAAAATAAAATAAAATAAAATAAGGAAGCCATGGCGGTTGAAATAAAGAAATCATAGATTTACATGTGTGGTGTAAGAGTGACGTAATTGGTGAAGACTTATGGCCTTTCGACATTGACTCATAACGAAATAATAAGGAAGAATGGAAAATGGCTAGCATATATACAAGAGAGAAAAGAGGAACCAGGTGAATACCAACTATATATTTAAGCCTTTTAAGCCTCGACGGATTGGAATGCGAAAATATGGCTGTGCATACGGCAGGGCTTGGCCAGGCCGCCGAAACAAGACTTCCAACATTTGGGGGCTGCAAAATAAACGTTCTGGCGCCGTGCTGTCTCCCTTGCATGCAATACACAGTTGTGTCTGGGGGCACATCCAATAAATTCTTCTCGCACATCCATCTGGCACGTCCCTTGCGGGCTTTCCATCTTCCTTCCGGATTCCCTGCAGACGATACGAACTGACAAGGGGACGGGCTTTCAAATAAAAGTCGCAGCGGTAATTTCTTAGCTATCAGGTTCGCTTTCTCAGAATAGTTAGATTTTTATTACCTCTTACGACCGTTGCTAAATTCTGTTTGTCCGTATTAGCAAATAATGAAAAATATGTCATGCGTAGATGGAGGAATCCGGTACTTTAATTTCTGGCATCCGAAGACACATTACTGCGTAGTTGGAAAGATGAATGCATAACCTCAAAACTTCCAGATATGGAGGCCGTTTTGAAACATAATTTTATAGCAAAATAATTCACATCAGATCATCTTTCTGTAGATAAGTTATTTTTCAATCATAGTTGTGTAGAAACATTAGGTTATTTCGAAGCAAAAGAGATGGAAAATGAGCAGTCGCCGGGACTCGAACCACGGTCCACTCGAATACGCGTCGAGCGTGCTGACCATTACACCACGAAGGCATGCTAAGAAGGCGGTAGAAATACTTTATAGTTGAATATAATAATTTCCATGTACACGGGTTTTAAAGTAAGACGTCGTCTTAGACAAGTAAGCAACAGTTTGTATGAAGAGCGTCTTATCAGGAGGAAAGTGTAAGCGAAAAGGTGCACAGCAATTTAAAGGAAGGGAGTCGAAAGTTTCAGCTCGAGTTTAAAAAAGAAAGTTTTGGTTTACAATTATTTTGATTGGACAAGAGGTATCTGCATTAAGCGTTGCTTAACATGGAATGATCTCGAATTTGGGAGAACAGATAAATTTAGGGGAAGAGCATAAAATCTAGAATCCTCAATTTTGAGGTCGCCAATTATTCTTAAAGCAGCCATGATATTTTGTTATACCTTACGTGTATATTACTAGCTTTTTGGAAACGCTGCAACACCTAGAGCCACCAGATTTTACAGGTAGTCCCCTAAACGGATATGTGCACTTCCATTCCCGAATTTTGACTTTGATTTTATTTGTTTCATATTTTGTGCAAATTTTAGGAATTCTGGATTAAGTGTAAGCGTATATTTAGTTTATGTTTTATGTTAAGCGCATATTTATGTATATTTATGTTTCAAATCGATTCAGAAGCTCAGAGATTTAAAAGAAAAGTTTTGCTACTGACAAAATGGAACTTTGCCACTTCGGAATTAAATCAACAGATAAAAATCAAACTCAGCGATTAAAAAAAAAAAAATCAAACTCAGCGATTAAAAAAAAATAATAAATAAACTTGTTGCCACAGCACGAATTAAAATATTTTGATCTTCCATTCAACATTGTATCTGCAAAGCGTAAGATATTTCATTTTTTTTTTCAGATTTATTTTGTTATTAATAAACAAAATTAAGCGATTTATAAGCAATAAATGCGTTTCTTCATTTATATTATTTTGTAACAGACCTATTTAAGTGTAATTGAACTATTTATTCAGCCGAAGCATGAACTGTAACCGAACTTTTATTTAAACGCATCTCGTGCGATATGAAAAACGTCAGCGACCTCCAGCGCCATGATGAAGTTTACTATGTTATGTTATTAAAATGTTGATGTTCCATTGGTAATGTTTCATTTTTATGTATATTTCTTTTGTTGAACGTTCCTGTGTGCTCGTTAATAATCCTTTTAAAGCTAGCCGCATAGTGTCTATTAAGGAACGGCTCCATCTATTGGCGCCCACCTAAATTAACCAAATGGCGCCCAAATTTACGAATTCTGTTGGCTTTAACAAGCTCTTACGCCCGATTACTTTAGTGCTGGAGTAGGCAGTTCTTTTCAGGTTGTACTACTGTTCAAATATTCTTAAACCATTCTGACTTTTCTGTCATACCGTGTC